TGTTAATTAGGTGTCGATGATAGCCATGTGATGTATCAGTCACATCACAAAAGTCTGAATTTTGCCTGAAACTCTCAGTCTCTTGGAGGAGAGACAAAACGTTTCATTAGAGAAGAACCCGTCCAGAAGACCTATACAATTTTTTTTCTTTTTGACTAAAGCATTGTATTTTCATTTTCAATTTAAGGGCAAAAAATAAAACTTCTTTCACTGCATGAATGAGACTATACCCACCATTTTTTTTAACCTATGATAGTTGTTAAAAGTGTGGAAGCAAGACCATTATTTCTCAAAAATACTTTATTTGTAATGCTTCAAAAGTAGACACATTTCAACGGCTTTGTTTAAAAGTATAACAATGAGCTTCTATATAACTATTTTTTTAATCATTTCAAATACACCCAAAGAGGGGAGGGGAGTGGGGGGGGGGTGAACACAAGCTGTTTATGTAAACTCGAGTTTCTGCTTTTGTGTTTGTACAATAAAGACCAAAGGTTTTCCCAGGCATAAATCAACTTGATCATGAATGAAGCTTTTTATATCAGCATCATGTATGAAATGGCACATTAACCAGTACATACCCTGCTGCTCTACAGGAATGCTTTTATTATGACATCGTGTTTCCAGCTGCTACTTGTCTAGGCTGAACTCCTGGAGGAAGAGCCTGTTGAATGAATCCTTTGAACATTAGGCTACAACTAAGAACTGTTGTCACCAAGGGGAAAAAAGAAAAGAAATTTGATCCTTGATAACGTGCTCATCAACAGCATGGTTCCCTTGAAAAAAGTGTATATACGTGCTGCTCACTTTACCACTAGAGGGACTAAATGTGACTTGCAGCACTATATTAGATACACATCCTATTAGCTGCTGTTACTCCCTCTGATGTAGCCTGACAAGTGTCTTGCCCAAATATTTATCATAGTTCGCATTTTTCACATGCATGTTCTATAAATAAGCTACACCGGTAGAGCAAAGGTTTGCACAGACATTCTTGAAATACATTTTCAAATGAGTTGTTTTAAATAAAATTAGGCTCCTGGACTACATCTCAAAAAACTGAGCTGAAACTCTAAATACGAGTTAGACAGGCTGCTGTTAAACATAGCTACTCTTAGTTTAAACATCCACGATTAAACATGAAGACGAAAAAAAATAAAATACAACCCAACTGATGTAACTAATGATAACCTTCAATAATGACATTTTTAACCCAAGATAAGCATTTAAAAGAAAGAACAAAACAATGTCAAATACGTTGAGAAAATTACTCTTTAATTTGAAAGTTGGTATCAAATTTCCAAAAAGCAGCCTGTCAGTCTGGTTTGGGAGGGAAAAGCCAAAGGTTATCCAAACAAACAAACAAATAATCTCGGCTCCTCTGACATGTAAAGAATGCCACCTTACTAGAAACTTGCAACAAGTTGTGTTTTAATGGTAACTGCTCAAACAGCTTGACAACAGCTGAACAGGGAAAAAAAAAAGAGTTGAACTTAGTTGTGATCATTTTCAGTGCAGACATTTTCCCATTGATCCTGACTACTAGTGTATGAATATGTTTAATGATTTGGGTTTGTAAAGGCCATATCAGCTGATGATACTGCAGCTGGATGTTTGCATTAAAAAAACACGTGTCCAAATTGTATATTCACTTGTTAAAGAAAAAAGTAGTGTGCACAACTCCAGTACAAAAAAAGAGAGTAAATGGGTGATMGGTACTGAGGAAATCACAAAAATGGAATAACTAGCACTCCAAAAAATCCTAATATGTTTTAATAAGGGCAGAAAACAGGACGTGTTTCAGCTACATGCCTTCCTCAGCTTGAAACGTGTCCTGTTTTCTGCACTTATTAAAACATGTATTTTTTGAAGTGCTGGTTATTCCTTTTTTATATTTTCACTTTTTAAGACAATCATCAAGTGTGAGACAAAGCTGGTTTGTTTACACAAAAAATTCATGAAAGCAAAAACAAAAAAGTTAAGGATGCAGAGTTTAATCTGGTGAGAACAGTTTGGGATTCATAGTGCACCTGTGACTTTACAAATAAAGAAAAAACAAGTTGGGGAAATAAAACGTGTCAAAAACAAAACACTCAAATCAATACGAAGCTCTGAACACCAATGTAACGATCTAGACAAGTCCTTTACCTGTGGATTTGTTAGTATTCACGAATCTGCTTGTTTTTTTTTTGTGACTTGTAAGATACAGTACAAAGAAGAATTTGGTAACAAGTCAGTCCTTTTTGTGTGTTGAATTCATGGTGTTGGGATGTGGACAGCTCACAGCAGAGTGCAGCCTTTTCCTGTCCTCGACTTGCGAACCTGCAGCGCCGCTCGAGTTGCCAACTCGAACACTTCTCGCACACCATCCTTCGTCTTGGCAGAACACTCCAGGTAGCCGAAAGCACTGATCCTGCCGGCCATGTCTCTTCCTTCCTCTGGCCTCACCGGCTCCTGCAGCATTAAAAACAGGTCATTCTAAACTTTATCGAGATTATCAGATATAACTGCCTGTGGCCGACTCCTCAGGGACCTACATACCTGCTTCATCTTCATCAGCTCTCTCCGTGTGTGTTCGTCATTCCTCAGGTCCTTCTTATTCCCCACGAGGATGATGGGAACGTTGGGACAGAAGTGTTTCACCTCAGGTGTCCACTTTTCAGGAATATTTGCTGTTCCACACAAAAAAAAAAAAAAGAATTAAGTGGAAATACTCCAAAAAGAGGGAGAAATAAATAAATGAAAAAGTACAAGCAGTGCAGAGTCATGGTGCAGAACTCTTCTGAAAAAYAGGTCTACAGACTGCTGATCCCAACAAATCTAAACAATTAAAAATGTKTAAGATTGTTTAATATGATAAGTACTTCTTTAACAAAATAAATTGCAGGTTGCAAAGTTTTCCCAATTATAACTAAACTTTTAATTTGTTTTGTTGTCCTAATTGTAACTTATTTATATTCTGAAAACACAATGAAATCCAGAATTAAATGCCAACAACTTAAAAGTTCTGAATATGAATTTATATTTTACTTTGTTGAATACAACAATAGGCCCGGAAATAAGGTTTGTATGTATTTTATTTCATGAAGTATTAATTCTGTTTACATGTCAGTTTGATTTTCTACAGTGTAGATTGACCTATTTTAAGCCATTTGCAAATTAAAATAAAATATCCCTTACCTAAGCTGTCTGGACTGTCTATGGAAAAGCACATAAGGATAACGTCCGTGTCGGGGTAGGAGAGTGGTCTCAGTCTATCATAGTCCTCTTGACCTGCAGTATCCCACAATGCCAGCTCCACCTAAAGAAAAGAAAGAAGAAAAAAAAA